ATATATATATATCTTTGGGAATATATATTTCCTTCTACTAAATATTCCATGCTGTGGGCCAAGCCGTCCAACCAGAGTGACAGAAACTGTAGGCAGTGCAGTTATAGTTACTTTTTATTCCCAAGGTTTAAGTAACTTCTATAAACTTTTGCTGGAACTGCTCGATCGCCTCACTGTGTCACCATTTAGTGTCACTAAGAAGCAACTAGGCAAGTGCTCCAAACACTGAGCCATGCTATGGAACCGAGATAATATACTTCAGTTAATGGGAAATTGCCTTGTCGCAGACATTCTGTACGTCAGATACAGTTACACTTGGGAGTAGGGCTGCCACCCATCTGGGATTCACCCGGACAGTCTGGGTTTGGAATCCTGTGCCCTAGTGTCAGCCCACCAGCACACATTATTCAAACCGGACTTGTGGCTAGAAAGCCGCAGATGTGCATACCTCCCGGCGGGCGGCGCTGTCACTCTAGTCCCTCGACTCCCCCTCCCTCCCTCTGTTGTTCTCCTCCGCGGTTGGGACTGGGTGACAGGAAGTGACATCAGGGAGAGAGGGAGAAATCATCCTCCGGCAGCCAACTCCACCACGCACTTTCGTCTGGGACCGCCCTTCTCGCTTTCTCTCTACTAACAGATATTTCTTAAATTTAATTGAATTAACAATAAATTGAAAAGGGGTTGGGGGTTAGTATAGCACATAAAACATGCCCCCCCCCCCCCAAAAAAAAATGCCACAGGTAACCTGTGACATCTTTTGTGGGGGCACCTTTTATGTGCAATAGTACATATCGTCCAATACAGATGTCGCCAGCACTAAGATGCCATGTTAGTGCAAAATCTATTTGATTGATTGTAGTCATTTAAATGACAAGTGCTTTCAGGGGCCGCGCAGAGTCCCTTGCATCAGGCTCAGAAATGACATTGCATAAAAGTACCACAAACTTTATATAGACATTCTAGTATATCATTTCTGAGCCTGATGAAGGGGATCCTGCACGGCCCCGAAAACGATTGTCGTTTGAATGACAACTATCATGGAATCTTGGTGCTGGTGACATCTGTATTGAAGTTCTGTCCAATAGCGGCACCATCCGCAGTCATTACGAGCACCTGTTACTTTTGGGATATCCGGTAAGGAGTGTGGCAAGGTAGACCTGGGGACCTGTGGCACACTGGCATCTTATGTGGGCATCTTTTATGTACAGAATGCATATCTGGGGACCTGTGGCACACTGGCATCTTATGGGGGCATCTTTTATGTACAGAATGCATATCTGGGGACCTGTGGCACACTGGCATCTTATGAGTGCATCCTTAAGAATTGAAATTAACTCCAATGTTTTTTATTCATAAAATATATGCGTAGTTGAATGACAACTATCATGGAATCTTGGTGCTGGTGACATCTGTATTGAAGTTCTGTCCAATAGCGGCACCATCCGCAGTCATTACGAGCACCTGTTACTTTTGGGATATCCGGTAAGGAGTGTGGCAAGGTAGACCTGGGGACCTGTGGCACACTGGCATCTTATGTGGGCATCTTTTATGTACAGAATGCATATCTGGGGACCTGTGGCACACTGGCATCTTATGGGGGCATCTTTATGTACAGAATGCATATCTGGGGACCTGTGGCACACTGGCATCTTATGGGGGCATCTTTATGTACAGAATGCATATCTGGGGACCTGTGGCACACTGGCATCTTATGGGGGCATCTTTTATGTACAGAATGCATATCTGGGGACCTGTGGCACACTGGCAAGTTGTGATTAACTCCATAAGAATTGTGATTAACTCCAATGTTTTTTATTCATAAAATATATGCGTAGTGTATACTAAACACTAAAAATTGCCACAAGACGCTACAGTGTTTTTCGGGTTTGGCTTGAAGAAAAGGTGGCAACCCTACTTGGGAATCCTCTGAGTACCTGGTGAGCACTTGATATAAGAATGAATAGCCTTCATCCTGCTTTACATTCCTGTTGATGGGTGTGAATTCAAAGCCCATGCAGGCTCTTGAAGTTCGAGTTGGCAGCCTTCAAATGTGTCATGGGTTTTGGATTAGGTTGTCATATTAAAAGTTGCCAATGGGCCACATATTTTAAAGCTGCAAAGACCTGCATTACAATGTTAGAATTGTTGGGCTGGTGGATACGGGCAATTGACTCAGTACACATGCTCAGACACGCGTGTCAAACCTGAAGCCTAAATAGGGTCTTCTACCAAGATTGAGAGCTTGTAAATGCAGCAATTTATAAAGATAACTTGCTAATGCCAATGACTACTCTGACATAACAGGGCGCACCTGTTTTAAATAATTACCTCCAGCATGCAGGCACAGTGCAGTGCCCGGGGATGCTAAGGCTGGCCATACACTCTGCGATTAGTGTTCAATTTCCTTCGTGCCATCATCGAACCCTCGTTCAATTTCCGCTCAAATACCCCATCATGCACAGACCAATGTCGATTTTGATAATCGTTCGTTAGCAATACTAACTCAGCGAATTTCGGCGATGTGTATGGCTAGCTTCAGTCTTGCACAGTTGTACCGGCTCCTTTCCTGGACTGAAATTGCGTACTCTGATTTTACTGCACACTGTATGCTTCTCGTAGCATGCATTGGAAGCTGCAGCATGTCAGTATAGACTTTGCACTTTGCACCTGGAATGTATTGAGCTGATTTAAACTTTGGCGCGCGTATTTTTCCAAAGAAACGAGCCCCCAAAATACAAGCTGCCCATCTTCTCTTGTGTGATTGCTGACATCTCTGCTCTGTCCTGTTATGGGCGCTGTGAAGTGTTGTCACCTTATTTTTGAATGAGTTTTTAATCTTGTCACTTAATACAACCAGATGACTGAAACTTGAAAGCGGTTGTACCTGCGGGGCCCGAGGAAAGGTCATTAATATTTCACAGAACTGGTTTCTCTGTCAGCCGGCAGAAATAAAAGCCGTCGCAGCCCATTGTGCTTCCATAGAGCTCCATTCCTGGACGGTGTTTGATGATGAGCAGCCCCCCAGCTTTTGTGTCTGACTCTTTTCATCTCTCACAGCAACAAAGGATGGAATGTGCTTCATTCACTCACTTTATTCTGGCTGTGACCCAGGGGAATGAAAACTATTCCTGTTCCCCTTTTCATGGTCCAGCAGTAAAAAACAGGCAGGAGATTGATGACCCCCCTCATTCAGGCGTGGGTAACTCCGGCCCTCCAGACGTTGTGGAACTACAAGTCCCATGGGGCATTGCAAGACTGACAGTTACAGACATGACTCCCAGAGGCAAAGGCATGTTGGGAGTTGTAGTTAAAGCACACTTGGAGATGCCCACCCCTGCCCTAATTGTTTCTGGCTGTATAGGACCCAAGAAGAATTAACTCCTCCTTTATATGGTCCTGATGTGACCCATAAGCTCTGCCTAAAATATATGTAATCCCCAACAATGAGCTTCTCTTATTTGCTGCCTTTTTATTACGGATGCACCGATACCGGTATTTTGTTACCGAGTACGAGTACCGATCATTTTTTTTCGGTACTCGCCAATACCAATTACCGAGTAACGGAAGTCCCATTCAGGAAGCCAGGTGGCATGTAATGACTCGCCACCTGGCTTCCTGATTAGCCGGGAAGCCGGGCAGCGTGTTAAGACTTGCCACCCGACTTCCTGATTAACAAGAAAGTCTGTCCCCTCTTACCTTGGTATGTCCAGCCGGTCACCCCTGCGGCCTCTCCAGCCAGAACGTGGCCTTCCTCCGGTACCCAGCCGGAGCCGCCTGGCCGACAAATCAGGAAGCCGGGCGCCGTGTAATAACACAACGCCCGGCTTTCTGATAGGCCGGCTCCATGCTCCCTCGTCCTGATTGGCCAGCTTCCAGACCAATAGTATCAGGAAGCCGGGCAGCGCGTCATTACACGCTGCCGGGCAGCTCGTCATTACACGCTGCCGGGCAGCGCGTCATTAGACGCTGCCCGAATTCCTGATTGGCCGGGGAGGCGTCCGAATTCCGAATTGGCCGGGAAGTCGGCTCCATGCTCTCTCATCACAAGTGTCGAGAGAGCATGGAGCCACTTTCCGGCCAATCAGGAAACCGGGCAGCGTGTAATGACGCGCTGCCCGGCTTCCTGATACAGGAAATATCGGGCTAAGTATTGGAGCATTTGGGCGAGTACGGGTACTCGCCCAAATACTCGGTATCGGCACCGATATCGATACTAGTATCGGTATCGGTGCATCCCTACTTTTTATAACTGAGACTATGGTGAAAAACTGCAAATAAATATATACAGTAAACTCTCAGTCATCCAATATTTAACTAACCTAAAAAAAAGTCCCCGTGTATCCAGGAAATGATCGTGTTTCTATTTGTCTTAATTTGCTTTTGATTACTGCATTTTAATATTGATATGAAGTCAATACATAGTTTATGTTATGGTATGGTATGGTATGGGGCATGGCATTAGTTAGACCTATTTTCAATAGTAACTCTCAAGCAACCAGAAATTACATTTATCCAGAATCTACCAATCCCCGTGGATGCCAAATAACGGGGAGTTTACTGAATTTCTATATTGAATTTCCATAAGTTCTATCCTACTCCTAATAGCCCTATCCATCTAGAAGTTTGTAAAAGTACCTACAGCCCATAGGATGGACTTCCTCAATGCACTGACACAATTTAACTTAGCCCCGTGTATATGTACTTCCTTGTGTCATACATTGCTTCCAGCAAGCAATCATAATGTCACAAACTCACAGGGCCTGCCTTCTGAACTGCTACTCAACATCTAAACAATGTGACATTATGATTGCTTGCTGGAAGCAATGTATGATGGGATATGTAGTCTTGAAGAATCAAGATTGTATCACATCAAGCAGTGGGAAAAGAGACGCAAAGCACACTGGGAATCCAGGAAGTTGTTGGAAGTGATGAGCAGACGGAAGGCAGCACTCACTACATAAAAGGGATTTTCTCATGTAAGCTTTGATTGCATTATCTACAACTCCAATATGTATTCCTATTACAATGCTGATGTTATAACAGGAGAGGATATGTTGGGACTTCCCCTTCATTGTCCATTGAAAAACTTTTGTTATATCTGATTATCTCATTGAAAATTGCAAAACTTTTCTGTTGGTTCTGCCAGTAATCTGGTGCAATCTTGCATCCTGTGCAGTCTGCAAGTGATATCTCAAGCAATGTTATCAATAAAGCTGGTCATACAGATTCCTCCATCAACACTCATAAGAATCCCATGCTGTTGTCTTTGTACCGTGACAGTGGCCGCTGGCTGCTGTCAGAATGCATGAACGCTGTTTGCAGGCGATTTGCTGCAAGCCCAATCTCCTAATCGAGGGATGATGGCTTGGAAGGGTGCCGACAGTGGCAGCCACTGTGCACATTTCAGCCGGTTCATTAAGAAGGACTAAAGAACACCTACCCACTTCGTGTGTTATTGGCAGGATCGCCAGGGGAAAATAAAGAACAAAAGCTAATGCAGCCACCACATGTAAGAGCTGGTAAGCTGCCATATATGACATTTGTGTTATTGGGTTTAAATAAACTTTATTACTACTGTATTCCTCTCTGAAGGAATACTAAAACATAGAATTACAGTCCAAATGTTTGTTTCCAGTGATTGTGACGTACTTACTGTATATAATATAAATACATTAATGATCATTTTACAAAAATATAATGGAACTAACAAACCTTCTATCTTCATCTGGGAGGTTAAAAAAGTCAAAAACTCTAGCAGGAAGATCTTACAATCAGAGGCCAGAATCATTTATAAGAAACCATTGTTGTGGACTCATTTACATTCAGATGATCCATTTCCCTACTAAAATAACACTCTTGAGAAAGACAATTTTTGTTTTAACATTGTATCTCTCTACATAGGGATCTGGATCATGCCCCACCTCTCATGACCTCTATGGAAGCTCCTGTGGATCCGGGGTCCTCAGAATTGCAGACCATGTCTGGAACTGGCCCACCAGAGGATGACCCCTTTGATTTCCTCTTCAAAATAATCTTGATAGGTGACTCAAATGTGGGAAAGACCTGCGTAGTGCAACGCTTTCAGTCTGGCGTCTTCAGCGACAAACACCAAAACACGATCGGGGTGGACTTCACAGTGCGCTCACTGAATATCGAAGGCAAAAAAGTCAAGGTAAACAAAAGGCATTGTAGCACTATGTTTAGAAAGCGGGACGGTATAAGCTGGAACGTTCCTGTCCTTGTTGTCACTGTTTCCATTAGGGAGATTTTCCCTCTCTTGCTATGTCTATGTTGATCAACAAGATGGGAAGTGAGAGGAGATCTCCCCAATGGAGACACAGACCGCAAAATAACCTGGCAGAAGTTCTAATCCTTCCCCATGCTATTCAAAACTAGACATAAAACTTGACTCTAAACTTATTCATGACAGGTTCAAGTCTGGGACACGGCTGGGCAAGAGAGGTTCCGTACAATCACCCAAAGTTATTATCGAAGTGCTCATGGGGCCATCATCGCCTATGACATCACTCGCCGGCAGACCTTTGACTCCGTCCCTCACTGGATCCATGAAGTGGAGAGATATGGAGCAGCCAATCTGATGGTGATGCTTATTGGTAGGTTGTCATTCTGTAGTGTGGAAATCATTGATGACTTCAGCAGAAGCACTAACTATAGAGATTGGAGAGACAAAAAGAGCATAGGGGAGGAAAAGAGGAAGTGGGCAAGAATCCTTTCCTTTTTTACCTCTTTTCTTTCTTCCTTTTCTCTTTCCTTACCTTCCTTTACTCCCTCCCTTTCTTGCTTACTCTTTTCCTTTCCTTCTTTACTCCTTTTCTTTCTTCCTTTCTTCTTTGCATACCTTCCTTTTCTCCCTCCCTTCCTTCTGTTCCTTTTCTTTTCTTTCTTCCTTCCTGCTTTTCTTCCTGCCTTCCATCCTTCCCTTTTCCTCCCTACCTTTCCTACTTCTTTCTTCTTTTCTTCCTTTCTCCCCAACTTCCTTTCTTCCTCTCCACTTTTCTTCCCTCTTTCCTTCTTTACTGCTTTTCTTTCCACTCCTTCTTTTCCTACCCCTCTTTCTTCCTTCCTCCTTTCCTTTAGGACCCTTTCACACGAGCTGATAAGGAAAGGATCGGGCAACAGATCCTGTCCTGATCACAGTAATACAGATGGAGGAAAAAGCTGAAACTGCCGCACCCCATGTGTGTCTACGGGGAATCGTAAGTAGAAGACGGACATGTGTCAATTTACATCAGATTACCCCCAGTCCTGCACGATCCAGCCTGACGAAACAGATCTCTGATCCGTTTCTTTTTCCGTACCTAGCCGGAGCCGGGGCTAACCGGGTGTAAACGGATGCTCATCCGTAAACACACGGCTGCCCATAGACTTGCATATACGGTAGCATCCGATCGGGTCCAGCTGAAAAACTGACAGGCAGACCCGATCGGACCACGCATGTAAAGGGGCCTTTTCTTCTTTGCTAACATTCTTCCTCCCTACCTTTTCTTCTTCCATACCTTTCTTTCTTTCCTTTTTTTCTCCACTGTTAAGATGCTATTGTGTGTTCATCCATTATCTCTTTATAGGCAATAAGACAGACCTGGTGGAGAATCGGCAAATCCTGTTTGAGGAAGCCTGCACATTGGCAGAGAAGTTCAGCATGCTTGCAGTCTTGGAAACTTCAGCTAAAGAAGCTTGGAACATTGATGAGGTTTTCCTCCTGATGGCAAAAGAACTGATTGCCCGGAACACCCTGCACTTTCACAAAGATGGGCCACGGAACAGCTTTGTGCTGGACTCAAGGCCTGTTCTGGCAGCCAAGGAGCAAGAAAAAAACTGCCTATGTGGATAATTATGGGCTACCAGAACAGTGGATCCAAAAGAAAAAGAGTCATCTTGCATCAGTATCAAACTTGGTCCATAGCTTGGAGTCCTTAATGGAACCACATCCACATTTTCAGGAAATATTGACCACGTTTGGAAACCCTGCTGTCTGTGAACGATGACCTGAACCATGATTGCCCACAGTGGAAGGCTGGGAGTTGGTGGAATTATGGGGAAAAAATGCAGAGGTAGCAGCCATGGCCCCCCGGCTGCAGCTTTATTCTCCTTAAGGACTGTTATGGTTATAAGTGCACCCTGTCCTCAAGAATTCATTATCTATAAAATGATTATTTATATATTTTTAACTAGCAACATCCACTGGATAGTTCAGTACTGACCATGGACTGTTTTATTGGTCAGTGAAGGACACGCAGTCGTCCTCTCTGTAAGATTATCATTCCATAGTAGCTATAGCAATGAACGGTGCTTACCGAAATTGTGTTTATTGAGACGCAATCCTTATATTTCTATTACCAGTATATGGGGATATGTCAGCTGATGGTCCCATGTTATCTGGATTCAAACCGCACAGCCTAACATCTCCACTATTAAAAGACTGAAACTTGGACTCTGAATAGGGATGGAGCTCTCAAACTGTGCTCTGTTTAACAGAATAGAATGAATGTACTATTAGGCTTATTCAATAAACCTCAAGACGTTCCCTTGTCTTTCTTGGGGTCATGTTTTACCATCGCCTTTTGCAAAAAACAGAACTGAACTGAAAGAGAAAGCTGAATGCTCCACTGTGAGGAGCCACAAGACACTTTAAAGCTCAGGTATCCTGCAGCATTGCTTTTTGTCCTGCAAGGACTGTATCCCAATTGTAGCTCTACATAGATAGCACGAAGCCTGCTGTGCTGTGTCATCCACTGTTCATTCTGGTTTCAGATCATGCAATAGTAATCAGGGAGTATGGTTGTTGACAAAAGGGGTGGAGCCTGTATGAAAGGGTGTCATGATTGATTTGTTTGTCTATGGCAGTGTGATTCCTAAAGCACCTATCAATAAAAGGCATTTTTTAGTCTTATGTTATAGAATTGTCACACCGTTGGCATGTGTGTTCAGATACCTTAATGATTATATATTAATGAGTGCCACATGCACGGCAAACAGGCATTTTCACATTGATAAAGTTCCATCAGCTCGAAATACAGTCTTAGCGACCTTTACACCCAGACCTACAGCTTGAGGACAATGCCTCGCCCTTCCAATGTACAGCGAGCGCAACACACGACTCCTCCCTCCCTCGTATATGATGCATGGCATTAGTATGTAGCTGGCATCTAGTAAACTCCCTTTATACGGTAAACATATTTAGATAGATAGATAGATAGATAGATATACTGTATATAGTTAAATCTGTATTTTTATTAAAAATAATAAATAGCATAATAAAATGGGGATATACAACATATAATACACAGATAGCAAACATGATACATGACAATATCATCTTAATTACAAAGACAATGCCAAACATGAGATTATTATTTTTTAGAATCATGTCTGATTATAGAAGAAATGTTATCAGTATATTATAATAACAATTCTGCATTTGCATACATTTTTTTTTCCATATTAATAGTGACCCTGCAATAGTGCAAACTGTGCCTATTGATAGTGGTATCTGGTGCTTCAGGTCTGATTACATGGAGAAATTAAGAAAGTAATCAAATATTAAAGGTATGAATTACATCATGTAGTATATCCCATAAGGAAGTGAGTTCATGGTGTGTAGAGATTAAAAAGAACAAAGAAGAAAGATCGGAGGAAAGAAAAGAAAAAGAGGAAGAAAAGAGAGGTCAGAGAAAGATGTCCGGGGTGGGGGGGAGGGTAAAGAAACTTTTGACTGTTATTTAATGATGAATTAAGTTTATAGTCTACGTCTGAGAGAGTCAGAGGTCGAGAAACCAATCCAAACTGCCCATAAGATATACAATTTGTCATTTGTAATAGCTAGAATTTCCTCCATTCTCATCATTTTGTTCATAGTATTGATCCGGTGGGAGAGGGATGGAGGCGTAGATGTTTTCCAGAGATTTGGAATGATCTGACATGCAGCAGAAAAAATTAAATGAAGGATAAATTGTTTCAACCCCTTTTTGGACCCTGGATAGATAGATAAGAGAACTATTTCTGGGGAAGGTGTCAGGGTATTACCATAGATCTCTGAACTAATATAAAAAATGGAGGACCAGAATGATTGTATTAAAGGGCAATTCCACCAAATGTGTAGGTACGTTCCTCTGTCACTTCCACATTGCCAACAAGTATCAAAGTATCAAGGACCAGAGGAAAAATACGGTGTATGGATACAGGATCTCTGTACCAGCGAGAGATGATTTTATCAATTGTCTCTTGCGTATAACATGAGACAGATGATTTATGTGTATATACGGTGTATATATATATATATATGTGTGTTGCTGTAGAACTATAGAATAACATCATTATGTATACATGTTCATTTTACAACATTATTTTTTTTTTTTATTCGTTGCCTTTTATTTACTAACTTCCTGTCTGGTGAAACTGTTGTTACTGGAACAAAAAATTAGGGAAAATCTCTAACAAAGCCCCAGATTGTAGTAAAACCTGATAGGGGAATCCTTCCACACTCTATAAAAAAAAACTGTTTTGGCTGGACTTACACTTTAAAAATGTCCCCCTACTAGAATGCCAAGATATGCACTATTATTGTGACGACAAAGCCTAATGAAAATGCAAGGCCAAGCAATGGACACATTTCCCAATTCCTTATTGCACCCTAACACAAATATACACTGCATTGTATCACACCCGCACTATAGCACACCTATTGCCTTTCCAAAAATATTGCAGGTGTAATTTTTTGTGCTCTGGGGCCTGATCGTGTGTGGAAGCATTGCTTCCAGTAGCGGAATGATCGCCATAGCGACCCAGACGGCCACTATGGGGCCCGGGGGAACAGCTTGCGGTGGAGGAGGCCGGGGGCCCGTCAGTGGCAGGGTAGGAGGAGGCGGGGCCCGGCACGGGGCAGGAGGTTGGGCCCGGCTTTGAAGAAGGCAGAAAGTGGATTGGGGCTGACAGGTAAGAGGTGTGCAGGGGTGTGACCAGCCCACCTGAGACCCTGCAGAACCCACCATAGTCTATAGTGGGCTCTGCAGGGCCACTCTCAGGTGTGCTGTGTGGGATCTCAGGTGGGCTCTGCAAGGGGCGTAACTAGAAATCACAGTGCCCCATACAAAATGTTGCTATGGGGCCCTGTGATTTATAGTTACGCTCCTGATTGCTTCATGTCTTATTTCCTTGCTGCCACCAATATGATCCTGTGGCCATGTCAAAAGTAGGTTGTGGGGGGAGAGGGAAGTAAAGGGGTCACACTTTGACATTGTGTGCCTTTGGTACTAAGGGACCGGCACTGAATGGTTGGCCCGTAACAGATAAATGACCCTTCACCCAGCACACATCACCTAGTGCCAGCTAGCAGTGTAAACAAGCTCTGAACAGCCCTCTAATCTGTCTCTTATGGTTCTGTAGATAAGACGTCCAGCAAACAGGCCGGTGTTTATTGAACAGCTGCCGATCAGGAGTTATATGCAACGTCTCTGATCAGGTTACATATGTGGCAAAGGTGTTATTACTTTAGTATGGTATGGGCCTCATTCACATCTGTGTAACATACAATAAAACACGCGTCTTAATGCCTTTATCACAACGCACATTAGTGCACAATTCTGTCCAGGATGTGTTGCAGTACTCTGTGTTTTGAGAGGCACCCAGTGCACATAGACAGTGCAGCACAACGCACAGATCTGATGCTACATTGAAATAAAAGGTGCAGGTGTGTTATAAGCAGTGTTGAGGTTTGTTGACAGCCCATGTATAGGTGAAGCTGAACTCCAACCTTACCCTACGTCCCCGTTCACACCTAACTGTTCTGTGACAACACGCCAAACTACCCACCATACACGTACTTTGACGCCCGTTTAGAACGCATTAAAAACACAATTGCGGTGCCATCACATGTCAATGGCACCCCAAACCCTTTTTTCCCTGCGTGTGAACGCACAAAAACGCGAGGCGCGTGTAGCAGATTTTGCTACATGAGCGCTTTTTCCCATGTTTATCGCATGTGTGACACCCAATGAAATCAATGGGGATGCACGGCATATGGAGTAAATAAATGCCCGTGAACACGCAGAAATGCACATCACCGCAACATGCGTTCCTGCTACGCAATAATGAATGGGGACTTAAACTGACTATTTCTATGAAAGGTCCTGTTGGCTCAACAAATGTTGATTGAAAATCAAAGAAAGGAGTCGAATGGAAAATTGTCGGCCAGTCAGTGACCGCAAGGCCTGGATTGGCTGACCTTTGAATTTTATAGGTGGGGAAGGGGGGGCATGTTTGCAGTCTAGCTCTATAAAGCTGATCATACACCTTACAATTATCTGCAGATGTTCTCTGGTCAGATGGAAAATGTGCAACAGATTCCTCCATCTATGCTAAACTGTGTGGATGGAGGCAGGGGTGTCCTGAGGCCAGGTGTCACCTGGTCTCCAGATCAGGTGACACCCCACTGTGTTGTCATCGCACGTGCCGTCACGTGATGGACGCCGGCAGAGAGAGGAGGGGACGTTCACCCGGCGGGATGAGGTATGCTGTCGGGTCCCCTCCTCTCTCCTGATACTGTCGGGCTCTTGGTCCATGACTAAGTGCCCGACTTTTTAGAGGGGGTGACACCAAAATGACTGGTGTCACCCGGTTGCAGGCCGCACCCCCCTTGTGACACCACTAGATGCAGGATTCTCCCACTGAGCCTAGCTTTAGTATCTTGTTAGTCGGCCCGCTGGCTCTCAAAACACCTGAACAAGGCCCGCATCCAATCAGATTGTTCAGGTATTCTGACAGCCAGCTGGGCCGACTAGCAAGATACTGAAGCTTGGCCCAGTGGGAGATTCCTCCATCCACACAGTTTAGCGTAGATGGAGGAATCTGTTGGACTT